TATCTGCAAAATATGGGCTGACATAGTGGTGACTGTTGTGGAGTTAACAAGCGGCCACTTTCACATCTTCCAGGAAATTCCAGCCACCGTGCATGGCATCCCATTGTTTCGCGTGAATTGCTCATTCACAGTAATGTGGCACTTTGCAAGATACCAGGGAGATATAATCATATAGTTGCTTTCAGTGACTGATGGAAACTCGCATCACCACTTTATTTAAAGAATCAGACAGTGAGGGCGGGAAGGGACCTCAGGAGGTCACATCTAGTCCAACCCCCTGCTCAAAGCAGGACCAGCCCCAACTGCATTGTCCCAGATAAGGCTTTGTTGCTTTGGGTCTTAAAAACCTTCAAGGATGAAGACTCCACCCCCTCTCTAGGTACCCCATTCCAGTGCTTCACCACCCTCCTTGTGAGAGAGTTTTTCCTAATATTCAACTTCAACTTCCCTTGCTGCAGCTTGAGCCCATTGCTCCTTGTCCTGTCATCTGCCCCCACTGAGACCAGCCCAGCTCCATCCTCTTTGCAGCCCCCCTGCAGGGAGGTGAAGGCTGCTATTCAATCCCCCTCGGTCTTCTCTTCTGAAGAATAAATCAGCCCAATTCCCTCAGCCTATCTTTATATGTCATGCGCCCCAGGCCCACACGTCGTGCCAAGAGCATGGATATAATGTGCTTGGGATGCAGTCTGTTTAAAGCGATAATAGCCGTGCCTTAAAAAGAGATAATCGAGTGCTACCCAATCATTATTATAGCTGGATTGTTGTGTTCATTGACTTGCCTGACAGTTACCTCCAGAAACCCATCAAAAGAGTGCTGTATGAATGCTTCCATTCCTCCAAGTGTATCTGCCAGGACAACAACATGGGTGGGTATGACAAGTTAGAAGAGAGAAAGGGAAGGTAAGATCAAGGTGTGACAACCTGAAGGATGGAGCAGGAGTTGTAAGAAGAACGATTTTGAGGGTGGTGCTAGTAAGCTTCCAAAAAAAACTCCCAAAGCTGGATGTTCAAGCTTCACGTAGCAGCACTGAGTACAGTGCACTTAATAAAGATCCAACTGCTGCAGCACAGATGGAGTCCCTTTATTATTGCACAGAGTGCTGTGCTTGAAACGCGAGAGAGCAGCGATAGGAACGCATCATCACGGAGGCTTGCTTCATGGCAGCTGACGGCGTGTATTTGCTAAGACGGTGGCGTTCCCCATTGCCCTGTATAACCGTGGCTGCCTGGCAATAAACACATCTGAGTTGCAAATCAATAGCTGTAGGAAAAAGTGGTAATGGTGTCTGCATTGCCATTCCTGTTAACCTTAACGCCAGAAAAATGCCTGTGTTAAGGTGAGACTAGATTATCACAGCTACAAATGTTGCATTAGGACGCCCTGGGGGGTGTTTTATTGCTTCATTAAGTACATGCCTGGGGCAGTGACGGCACTTTGCCAGATGCCTTCAGCCATCCAAGGTGTATATTAATTGTTCAGTAAAACACCCCCTGGAGTGTTTTAATACTATTAAAATATGGCCCTGCAAATATAAATGCATTTTTAAACCTATTTTTATGGTGATTTTCCTTTTGCAGTGTATCCTTTCTCCACAGAAAGTAGTTCCCTGGAGGAGGGAGACAAGGAAACAATAGAAAACATCAATGATACATTTTCTATATTTAGAGTTTTGAAAATATTAGTGGCAAATTTCTTACATTTAGAGCTATGAAAAATAAGTGCTTTGATGTTTGCTACCCAGTCTGTATGTGGGCAGCATCTCTCCCTTCCACTACTCTCACTTCATGCCTCACATTTCATTTCTGTCAGGTTTTTTTGTTGTTTTTTCAAAATTGCCAACATGCAGGGGCGTATGACCAGACTTAACCAAATTAATTAGTGGTCTGATTTCTATATGTGTCAAACATCCAGCAGGTCCAAACAAAGGGAGTGAGAATTACTACGGATTCAGCACTTTTGTAAGTCCAACCTCCCAATGAAGATGCCGACTTATGTCCTTAAGTGTTTGATGCTTGACTCCTGTTTTGAAGTGTGCCACTTGCTCTTCACTTTCCCTTTATGCTTCCTCCACAGTGAACAAATAAAACCAAACATGGCAGAAGCAATATTGGGGGCATTTTCTTCTCTTTTGGTTACGACCAATGGCTGTGCCATTAATCCCTTCATGAAAAAAAGAAAAGAAAAGGCCACACTAGTTTGGACCAATGGTCCATCTAGCTCAGTAACCTGTCTCCGACAGTGGTAGAAGTGATTGCTTTAGGGTCAGAGCATTGAATGGGGTGTACGTAGAGCAGGGCTGTCCAACTGGCGGCCCATGGGCTGCATGTGGCTCCTTAGAGGTTCAACATCACCCCCTCTACTCCTGGTCTTCACACTGGCCCCCTGGCACTTCCTTGCAGCTGTCACTGGCTCCCCCTGCCTCCTCCAGCTTCCACTGCCTGCCCCCACCTGTGAGGTGGGGTAGAGGGATGGGGGGTTGCACCATTTGTGTCCGGGAGGCCTGGGGCCATGTACCATTTGGTTGTTGGACAACCCTGATCTAGAGTGATCTCTCCCCTGTTCATTACCCTCGCTGGCTTCCACCACTGTTGGCTTACACATGCCAAAGGAAACATCTTAGACAGATCCATTAATAGCTATTAAACAGAACAAGCATCCATGACTTGAACTTTTTTGATCTCAGCTGTACTGTGTCCCTCTACAACCTCTTGTGATAATGGACTTCCAAGAGGTTGTAGAGGGCTTTTTACTCCAGCTGTTACAGCCCAATCTCGCAAGGCCCTGTGCACCTCCAGTGAAATGCTGAGAGCCTTTGACTGACTGGTTTGGTGGGAACCGAGGACAATTTTCAGTCTTCAGAAGCAGGATCACAGCACAATAAAACAAGCACATTTCCTTCTCACACACGATTCCCTGAGAAGCACTGATGGCTAAGCCATTACAGTGCCTTTGTGCAACTTCAGAGCGTTTCAGGCACCTGGGCAGCTATTATAATTTTACTTTTGATTAGAAAGCCAAACTAAGCAAAGCTGGCTTAATGGGACTCTGCACAAGCTGGAAGGTAAGCACATATGTCATTCTTGGCAGGACTGGAGTCCTAGATCCTTCCTGAAACAAAAGTTTGCCGAATCAGCAACAAGCCAGTGAACGCAGAAGAGCAAATAAACCAAATGAAGCCCCTGATAACTACATGGTCTTATTACTGTGACTGCTATTCTTTGTCCTTCTCCACTGCATCCATATCACTTGCTGTGCTAAGTGGTCAGGGTAGGAAAATTGTGTTTGTGTATGTATTGATGATGCACCTAACTCAGCTGTGCATGGAGTGGGCATGGTGAGCATTAGCAGATGAAGTCAACGGATTCAGTATGCATCATTTTAAGTGTGTATTCAAATATTTTGTACCTACAGCAGAAAAAAGTGTCTCCTAGACTGGAACTCAGGAGATCTGTGTTCAATTCCCAGCTCTTCCAAGACTCCAAGCATGACTTTACGTCACAATAACTTCTTTCCTTCGCCATCTGTAAAATGGGGCTAACACTTCCTTTCTTCTATCCTCCATCTATATATTATAATTTGATTTTCAATTCCTGAGGCAGGGTCTGTCATCTCTAATATGTATCTACAACATCTGTGACAATGGGTCTGCAGATGTTATTCTACTAGCCATGTTGCAATAAGAGGGTGGTGGCATGGTATTCCAAGGATGCAGTAACTAGTATATGATTTACTTCTGTGGATGTGTTTTGCCAGATGCACCTGGTATAAAAGGCACTGGTATACAAGGTATAAAAGTTATGATGTTAAATATATGGTAGTTCCCTATACAGATATTTAAGAATGTCATTAGGCAATAAAAACCATAATATGCTCTGCCATCTTGACAAAGGAAGTGCTTTATAAGTGCAAAATATGATTATTAGACTATCTGCCTAATATCTGCTGTTTGTCCAGTTGAGTTTTAAACCAATGAAATTATGGAAGTTCTATCTTAGTGTATCGTGGATATTTCAGCAGGAGATGGTTTAACCCAGAGTATCATGCAGAACAATTGCCATAGTATAGGTGAATGGTGGTTCTCAGAGTTTGACACCTGGAAGATGTCACCACAGCAGAGCATATCCATTAGCTTGCTCTCTTAGCTGAGGTTTTGGACTGCCATCGTAGTTTGGAACCTCCTGGGCAACTGACTCAGTTCTTATTGAGGAAATGGATTTCATGAGTTGGTCTCTAAGGGCGTTTGTACACACAATGTTTTTTGTCCTTTCTTGCGCTGCAGTGGTGTGACTGTGTGCACAGGTGGTTTTTCTGGAAGCTTTAAAAGACTTTCTGCTGCATTAAAGTAAAACTTTTTGGAAATAGTTTAGTTCGGCTCGCCGTGAATTAAAGTGTTGCGTCCATGGATTTGTTGCATGCAAACACAAAGGCGCTCAAAATGTGTAATGAGCCTCTTTGTCCACCAGATGGTGCTGCAAAGTTTTTGAGTGTTCACCCCTTTGAATTACTTCCACTTTTGAATTGCTTCTGCTGTTTTGCTGGCTCCCTGCTCCAACAGCTGTGTGGCATGGCACAGGCATGGGGTGGAGGGCCTGGGACAGGGGGCAGCACTGGACTGTCCTGCTCTCCTGCAGTGCCAGCCGAGGTCCACGCTTAATTTGTTTGAAAACCTACTGTGTGCAAACATTGATGCAACACTCCAAAGCTTAATTCAGTTGAAAACCTAGTGCATGCAAAAACTGATGCGATGCTCCAAAATAAACAACTTTAAACGTTATAAATGTTATTTTAATGAGGATTAAACTCCGTAGTGTGTGCAGGCACCCTAAGTCTCTTCCACCCTAAACATCCACTTGCCTTGGTGCTTTTGGTTCTTCCATTTTTGCCATGAACATCTCAGTTGTTTGCATTTTAGTTTAATTTCCCTGCTTGTTCCCTGGAACCATGCAGTATAAAAAGGATAAACCTCTCAGTGTCTTTTGCTTCCCCTTTTTGGTTTCAGCAGAGTCCCCGCACTCCTTTCTCTGACTTGGCTGATGATGAGAAGATCTTCAATGGAGGGGATAGCATGTGGCAGAGCCAAGATCAAGATCAAGCCCTGCTCTCAGAAATCACTGAAGAAGACTTGGAGGCCATGCGTCTACGGGAGGAAGCCATCCAGCAGATTGAGGTTGCTGTTCTTTTGTACCATTTGGCTTGGGAGATGGGAGTGGACATTATTCTAGTGCTGGGACAGGTGGTTTGAAGAAGGAAAAGAGAATATGAGTTTTATATCTCAGACACTAACATCATAATTGGGTGTGGGGAGTAGGTTTTGGGCATATTTTAGCATGGATATAAATGCCATAAGATTGCATTGCAATGCTGGACAGCCTCTAATCAAAGTTAAAGAGACTAAGGTTTTCAGTGTACCTTTTGTGTCATAGTCTGCAGAGAGGTATTGTTTCCTGATATGCATTGCTACAGTGCCTGTATAGACAACACTTTCTTTGTACAGCTCAAATATTGGAGGATCAGGTAATTATGTGCTAGACATTGAACAGGTGCAGTTCAAAGAGAGCTTATCATTTTAAGGAGAAAACAATATCAGTCTAATAAAGAACCAAAGTTGGAAGCTAAGTTGAACCAGCCCTCCTTATTTTATGCTTCCATATTACTTGGTTTCATGAGTTCCACCAGCAGGCACACCAAATGCCAATACTCATGCAACAAACTACTGTAACTTTCCTTAAGATTTCAATATTTTGCTTTTATATCAAGGTTTTTTGAAATTTTTTAGCAATGGTCAAAGAAAGGTCGAATACAACTTTTTTTTACTGTTACACAGTATAAACATGTATGGATATAAAGTCAAAAAGCCAAAAAAGTGGTTTCTGTAAAGAGATACAAATAAGTTATGAATGAGCTACTTTTTCCATTTGAGTTGTTCATTTTGTACTTTTGGAAAATTCAGTTTCTCATTGTCGAGCATTTATTGGCTAACTACTTTAAACCTTCACAATCTCTCTGATTTGTCTGCAGCTTGCAGGTTTAAAGTAAGAATGAACCTGAAGAGAGGGTTTGAGAACAAATCAGCGCATTTAATTAATACATATGCTTTCCCTGCTAAGTGGATCATGCTAATTTTATCAGAATGGATTTTTGTTGTAGCCTACCAAGAAATGGAATGTAATCAACACTGCAAGAAAAGGACAAATGTTCCCAATGTGGTCAGAGGCACTTGAGCTTCGAGTAGGAAATATAGGCTGTTCCTAAACAAAGATGATAACTAGATTAATTCAGTGATATAAATAACAGACTTCATTTATCATATTAGACTCTGTCTTTTCTAGTGTTCCGCATTCTCAGTTTTAACCGATTTTCACTGATAAATTCCCTGAATTTTTTTTTAAGTCACTTGTTTCTTTACTGATTTACACCCATTTTTTTCAGTTCAGATCCCTGTTAACTGGCATGGGGAATGGCCCATTCCCCTCTCATGCTGGTTAACAGTGATTTGAACTAAAAACGGGCAGTGCCGGTAACCTAAAAATGCAGCTGTGCTGGTTATCTGAGGCACAGATTTCTGAGCGGACACGGTGGCAGCGGCTTCATGCAGAGTGGGGGCAACGGGGTTGCAGTGGCCACGCGGGGGCCATTTTCAATAAAGGGAGGAATGAGGACCCAGGAAACTATAGGCCAGTCAGTGTTAACTTGATCCTGGGTAAGCTTTTTGAGAGCGTTATCCTGACATATGTCCACAAGGGGCGAGCAGGGGAGGTTATGCTTAGGGGCAACCAACACGGGTTCATTAGCAGCAGGTCCTGTCAGACCAACCTGGTGACCTTCTACGACCAGGTCACCAAATCCTTAGACGCAGGGGTAGCAGTGGACATAGTCTTCCTGGACTTTCGGAAGGTCTTTGACACTGTCTCTCACCCCGTTCTCATTAAGAAACTGGGGGCTGTGGTGTCGACACCCACACAGTCAGATGTGTCGCCAACTGCCTGGAGGGCCGCACCCAGAGAGCGGTGGTGGACGGGTCGTGTTTGACCTGGAGGGATGTGGGCAGTGGGGTCCCCCAGGGCTCGGTCCTCGGGCCCGCACTGTTCAACATCTTCATCAGCGACTTGGACGAGGGGGTAAAAAGCACCTGCTCAAATTTGC